GAAGGCAGCTACCCTCAGAAGCTCTATTATACTGGAAGAGAGATGTGAGACCCTTCCTGCTTTAAGAATCAGTGAAGCCGGGTGTGGTGGCTCAGCCTGAAATCCCAGCACTTTGGGAGGTGGGCAGATCACCTGAGGTCAGGAGTTTGAGAACAGCCTGGCCAACACGATGAAACCCTGTCTCTACTAGGAACACAAAAATTAGCCGGGCGTGGTGGCGCACACCTGTAATCCTAGCTACTCCAGAGGCGGAGGCAGGAAAATTGCTTGAAGCCAGGAGATGGAAGTTGCAGTGAGCCGAGATCGCGCCACTGAACTCCAGCCTGGGAGACAGAGCGAGACTCGGTCTCCAAAAAAAAAAAAAAAAAGAATCAATGAGAAGGGGCTGCCTGACCCCTGGTGGTGTGGATGATCCTTCGGGAAGGAACTGGAACCCTGGAAACCCAAGCAAGACGACACCCACAGCTGGACTAGGCCCTGAAGAAGCAGATCTTCCTCCTCAGAGATCCACAGCAGCTGGGAACCCGGATCTGCAGACCCACTTGGTTTGATGGTACTGTGTGGGACCATCTGTCAACACTGACACCCTGTGGCACTGAGAAGCAAAGGCAGCAGCCGGCTAAGCCTCCAGACTCTCCCTGCTGGAACTAGAAAGTCCAAGTGGCCCCCTTCTTCCTCCCTTTTTGGTTTTGTTTGTTTCATTTTGTGTTTGTTTGCTTATTTTTGTTTTCATTTTCTTCAAGATGGGGTCACGCACTGTCGCCCAGGCTGAAGTGCAATGGCGGCATCTCGGCTCACTGCAACCTCTGCGCCCCGGGTTCAAGCGATTCTCCTGCCTCAGCCTCCCCAGTAGCTGGGATTACAGGTGCACACCACCACGCCTGGCTCATTTTTCCCTTCCTTTTTGGATTCGCTCTGCTTCAAGGCACTGAGGCCATGAGGCACGGTTTGCAGATACAGGATAACTACAGCCCTGATGCAGCTGATCCTGACACTGAAATGGCTGTGGATCCCCGGATGGTGCGGCTCTATACTCCTGTCTCTGAAACCTGCTTCTTAACTTACTTCCCCAAATGCTCAATTCAGGCGAGGTATGATTTATATTAGACTCACAGGATGAGAGAGCAGTAGCTCCACCTAGTGGAAACATTGAGGTTGAAAAGGTCATGTTCGGGGATGATGCTATTTTGCAAAGTCAAGATATTTCATGTCCCTCCAGGAAGCCTTCCTTGATCCGAGTTATGCTTTCTCTTAACAATCTGTCTTCCCAGTCATAGGAATTCATGCACAAATGTAATCTCCTACTTGTTTGTCTAAATGGCTTTCCTAATAAATTTGTGGAAGCCAGAGACAATGTTTTGTTCACTGCTGTATCCCCACAGCCTTGTATGTGATGAAACCAAAGGGTTATTTTTACTCTTAACCTATAACACCAGACTCAGAGGAGGTCTGGGAAGAATGGGAAAATGTTTTCCCTCTGCTGTCTGATGCCACCGTTTTTTCTGGCTAGTATCTGCAATTTGGAAGGCTACGCACCTCTCTCTATCTGGAAATCTGAATTTTAGTTTTCGTTTTTGTTTCCTTTGTTTTGTTTTTGGGACAGGGTCTGGCTCTGTAGCCCAGGCTGGAGTGCAGTGCATGATCTCAACTCGCTGCGACCCTCTACCTCCCGCGCTCAAGTGATCCTCCCACCTCAGAGTCTCAAGTAGCTGGGAATACAGGAACGTGCCACTAGATGTGGGTTAAGAAATGGGGTTTCGCCATGTTGCCCCAGCTATTTGCAAACTCCGGGGCTCAAGTGATTCGCCCACCTCAGCCTCCCAAAGTGCTGGGATTGCAGATGTGAGCCACCACCGCCGGCCTGATTTTCACTTTTGAAACAGGTAAAATAGGCTGCTGCCCTGAGCTAATGCACACCCTAACCTGGGCTGGTTGTTTATGCTATCAACACCGTGTTATTCCCTTAGAAATTGTACTTAAAGTTATAAAATGCAGCCGGGAGCGGTGGCTCACACCTGTAATCCCAGCACTTTAGGAGGCCAAGGTGGGTGGATCACAAGGTCAGGACTTCAAGA